AGAGCCCCTATCGGGGTACATGAGGTAATCCTGCAACTTTCACACAGCCTAGCAGGCATAGGGCAGCAAACTTCACACGCCCTCATTCCACAACCAACGCAAGGAACAAGAGGGAAACCGGGCTCAGGGATCCTGCTACACTTAGTGCACCTGTCCCGTCCATCATCTCCCCTCAAGGCTTCAGGTAGAAGACCACCATCTCCCTGCCTACCGGCACCATTCACGCTGTAGCCGAGGCTAAGACCTGGCCCAAGACCACCGCTTGCAACACTTGAGGGGTAACCTGCAGCATCGTTGGGCTGACTACCGCCAGCGCCAACCCCATGGTGGCTAACGCCACCTCCGTAGGCAGGACCATAGAAACTGGAACCACACTGATTGTTCCCAATTCCATGAGTATCCGCAGCACTACCATGGAACCCGGGCGCTCCACCAGGGTAACCCCCGGTAGGAGCCCCTCCACTCGGGCCTCCAGAAGGCCCAGCGGGACCTTGGCCTCCACCATAATGCCCAGGACCTGGTGGTGGAGCTGGGGCATGTCCATGACCACCACTTCCGCTCCCACCCTGACCAGGTGGTCCGCCTTGCCCACCACCTCCCCCGGGAGGAGGAGGAGGGGGCGGTCCAGCTTGCGCGCGCTCATGCCGAATATTGCAGCGCGCACACCGCTCATGGCCGTCACTTCCAAAGTAACTGTGATTCTCACAGACGTGAGTCCCACAATCCGTGCAGAAATACATGGAGACCTCCAGAGCATTCTTGCGACATGCCCAGCATTTCATTTTCAAGAACTGACAATTGCAACAGTCCCCGTCGTCACCACGGCAAAGCCCGCAGAACTCACGACTGCATGTCACACACGAGAATTCAGCATTTGGGTGCTTACGGTCGTTGGGATCATCGAGGGCACAAATCTTAGGCGCGTCTGGGCCATCACCGCCGGGAGCCCCTCTTGCAGCCGGCGCTGAGGCCTGTCCACGATCCGAAGGAGCTCCAGCAGTCCCTCGCCTATCGCCGGGACTCCGGGTGTCGGCGCTGGCTCTACTCCCAGGAGTCCTCCACTCATCACCAGGACTGTGGATGTCGGCATGGACCCTATTTTCCCCACCATCTCCTGAATGACGACCTGGGTTCGGAGAGACATTCCCGCTATCGCGGATTGGCCTATCAAAATTCGGAGAGACGCTCCCGCTATCGCGGATCGGCCTCTCCCCCCTCGGTTGTCGACTCCGGACCTCAGATCCCCTATCGGGGACGGCAGCAGGCCTCGGGCTCCTATTCCTACCCGCATCCCTATTGGGGGAAATAGAAACGTCCCCCCTTGCGCGCGCGCGGGGATCACCCCTTGCACGCCCCGGTGGCGAATGTGACCTGTCAGGCAATCCCCGAACCCTCCTGCTCCTGCTGTCGGACCTCTCCCTAACGGGATAGATGGGATGCCTGTCTGCGCGAGAAGGATCGACCCTATCGGGCACATTCGGCGAAACATGATCAGGTAAAACAGCGCCTCCGCCTGGTCTCACCGGACGGCCAGTACCCCGGCCGTCACCTTCCCCAGGTGTGGGCGTCGGAGACCTGATCCTATGTCCCTGCCCCGCAAACGCATTGTAACCAACATTCCGTCTATCTCTGGGTTGTTGAGGAGCCTCATTAATCTGCTGGACACCCTGAATGATGCCAGCGGCCTCGTCAAATTGACCCTCCATTTCAAAAAGCTGAGCCATGATTCTGTTGTGCGCTGCGCTAAGATTACGCACGTTACCATCGATAGCGCTGATTCTCCGCATAACACCTTCAAGTGTGCTCCGGAATGTGCCGAGCTCTCGCCTAACGGCAGGCTGCACTTGGTCACTGCTGGCAGGAAGATTACGGATCTGTCCTTGAATGTTATCAACGACCCGATTCACAATTGCCGATCTCGCTTCATACTGTTCAACGTGTGACTTCACGGTCTCAAACCTAGAAATGATGTCGTCATGATCCCGACGTTGACGTTGAATTCCTCGAGCCAGATCCTGCATTTTCCGATTGACCTCGTCAATAGCCTCATGCCAGTCCTGCGGGGAATCACGTTCTGATGGTCTATCGACCTCCTGAGATCCCCTTCCACTTTGCAGCCTCGACACTCGGTTAGCGAGACGGGTGTGCTCTTCATTGATCCCTTCAATAGATTCAGAGGCCCACTTGGCAAATGTCTCGTGTTCATGGAGAACTTCCCCGATCTTCAGGTTTAACTCCCTGAAATTCGCGTTCACCACACTGCTACTGGCCCTATCGGACAGTTGTGCAACAGGATTCAAATTCACTTCACCTGCTGGTGTCCGAATCCCGACGGTTTTCTCTACCGAGAACATCCGTTTCCCAAGCTTGTCCAAGTCCTTAAGGATCTCGTCCTCAGAAGCAGCATGGCTCCTGCGGGCAGCCTCATTATTCTCCTGAATCATCAGGCGAAGCCGATCAGTCGATGCCTCATTGTCCCTGACAGATTCATGGACCTCGTGGGACAGTAGGTTAATCCTCTGCTCCACGACCTCGGCTTGCTCATCGATGGCTTGTCTCACAATGGCCTTGCTATCGGGAATAACTTCCCTTGCGAACCGTTGAACTATCATTCGCATCCTCCCGGCATCAGATTGAGTCGCAACCTCAGCTGCCAGGCGATCGACCTTGTCCTTCGTCCGTTGACTCTCGTCGCTCCATTCCCTTCGCATGGAACTCACCTGACCGTTCAGTACCCTGATTTGGTCAGCAAAGATGTGGAACGCCTTCGCGACTGAGCCAGAAACCTCACCTCTCTCGAGCATCTCTTGGATGTGCAAATCGAACACCTCCTTCGCCCTAGCGTCACCTGATTCGCCGGAAGACTGGGATCTAAGGGCGGGAGGAGTCGATATCTCGATCCTCTCAGGTGCCCCACTAGCCCCGGCATGTCTTCTGGGTTCATCCACGGGACAATCACCAACCCCAGATGGTCTGCTAGGAGTAGAACCCCTTCTACGGCTATCGCCGGAACGGGGATCAACATGGGACGCACGAGACTCGGGAGTAGAGTGGATGTGAACATCAGCAGGATCAGGCATCTCCTCATCCTGCGGAGCTGAGTCCATTGGTGAGGGGCTAGCCCTCCTCGCCTTCGACCTATCGGTCTCAATGGCCAGGGGTGACGGTCTCTTCGCAGAAGCACTACGTTCCCTGGCGGTCGAGCCCCATTGAGGTGTGAACTCGTTGCTGGACCTTAGCGTTTCAAGGTCACTGGTATCTCGCCCTAACGGGCTAGCGATCGACGGACGATCCTCGATTCCGAGTGCATCGGCAAGCCGACCATCTCTGGCACCTGTCCTAACGACATCGGCAGCCCGCTCAGTGATCCTCGGCGAACCAGTAACCCGGTTCGAGTTCACGTCTCTCTGATTCAACGGACCTCCAAAGGTGATGTTGGGAAAAGGGGGAACATTCGGGGCATCACCAATCGCCGGGGGACCTACCGGTCCCTCACGGTCATGGATGGCCTCCAATCCCCGAAGAACTTCCCGACTTTCCCTGGCTCTCTCTCTCTCGCTTCGGGCATCCCTGTCAACGCGAAGGTCCCTGGCGGCTCCACGAGAGAGGCTCCTGGGCCTCGCAGCATCACGGATCCTAGCATTTCGTCGTGATTGGTCCTCCTCCTCATCACGGCGATCCGCAAACGCGGCATACTCCTCATCATCATCGACCTCAAACTTGGCAGCGGCGGGACTAGTCCTTGCAGTCGCACGGCTGCCTGCATCTCGGCGCGAATGGCTCTCCTCCTCATCCGCAAAATTGTAACCTTCGCCATCATAAGACTCAGATTTGGCAGTATTAGGGTTGGGCCTACCGGCATCAGATCCCTGCTTTGAGCTACTGCCCCAACCTGCGGTTGATTTCAACAGATCATCGTATCCGAAGCCTGAGAACTTCCGCTCCTCGTGCTCATCAAACTGACCTGGATTCTGAGAACCAGTGGGTCGGCCCGGGATACCTCCCGGAACCAGAACCATAGTCCCTGGTCCCTGCGGCCTACTCTCAAACTCGTCTGAGACCTGCGACTCACCTGGAACAAGAGATCTCGGAGGTCGAATCGGCATGGCCTCCGGGTCATCCGAATGAGGGCGGGCCATGTCCATCGCCATGCTGATGAAGTCAAAATGTCCACGCCTGTGACCTGATTCAGAGCCACTCCTATCGGAGTAAACCCTTCGCTGTCTGCTCGTCATCAGTGGCCTGGCGGAAAATACGATCGTCTCCATCGTCGGCGTACCTGCCACGGCCCCTGGGTGTATCCCTACCGGGATCTTCACCCCTGCGGTCCTGACCTGTCGAACCTGCTTCGAAATCCTCGTAGTCATAGTCCGGTAGGTCCTCACCTGAGCGGAGGCCACCTAGGATGGCCTCCTCATCCACGACGCTCCTTCGAGATCGTGGGGTCGACATAGAGCTTGTAGTTGATGGTCTCAAGCGCGTAGGAAAGTCCTACGGCTGATAACCTGTGATTCGGGCACGAGCCTGTGCCCAGGCAATGGGTAAGTTGGGGTAAACAAGCCACAAAAGAAAGGTTCCCCAAAAGCAAACCAATCCCCGGTCCCAAAGATCAGGGTTTCCCACACACCAGAGAACAACAACCAAAGGAAAACAAACCAAACAAGAAAAGGGTTAACCCGCAACCTTGGTCGACAACAGGCCGCACGACTGGTCCCTACCAACCTGGCGGCGGCCCGAGGTCTCTTTCTCCCCCGAGATGCCGTCGGTCGACGCAGGGGTTCGGCGACGCCCATTCGAGGCGCGACGGAACCCAGAACTTGAGCCAAAGTGGCACCGGATAGTTGCTATCGCAACATGCCGGTAGTCACCTGAAATGCATGGCTAATCACAGAATCTTAAGGCAGTCTTCGCGGCGAGGAACATGCCGACTGAACTTCCTGTTTGCTCATTGTAAAAAGCGCCTGCGCCATCCGGGGTTTAAGATCTTGCGGGCAAGCCGCTCTGCCGGAAGACCCACCTGAGAGAAAAACATCGAACGCCTTGCAAGTGTCTCAAGTAAAAGAAGCGCGGAGGCCCGCGGTGGAATTCTCAGAAGGAAACACAAGGAAGCCAACCATGTTTCCCCAAGTGGCTTCCTCACCGCACCCCCCCAAAGTTCGTTGAGGCAGGGACATAGAAGGTCTTGGGAGAGAACAAATTGAAAAGCCTCCGGAATCAATTGACTTGGGAGAGTCGTGTTGGCTCGGCCCCGGATCAAACAAAATGCCAAACCCGTCCGCTCTGAACCCATTGACTTTTGGTTCTACCAACATGGTTCTACATATCTAGAGGATTGGCATCATCCGCGTTGGTCAAAGGGCCAACCCCATGATCTTTTCTTGTGACACGGGAGGGGGCCCCTTTGGGGCTGCGCCGTACATTGCTTCACTACTTAGGACATTGGGAGAAGTGACCTGATGTGACCCAAGACGACCTAAGCAAGAAAAGCATTGCCTACTGGGTCTGGGCCTAAATTCATTCGACTCCAGCCGTCTGCAAAATCGCAAGGCAACTGAAAGCCACTGCCCTGAGCTGAGGCAGCAGGGAAACCAAGGAAAACTATCGGAGAGCAAGGGGAAAAAGTTGAAAGAAGGGAAAGCAACAAGCCAGCATCCCTGGCATCACCAGACACATCTCCAGCATCCCTGACACATCACCAACTGTCTCAGCACCGCCCGCATCATCTGGAGAAATCGCTGGAATCGCCCCTGGAAACAGACCTCACAAACAAAAAAACATCGGCAGCAGTCCTGTCTGAATGTTGCGCAAAAAGTGGTCTGCAAAGAAAACAAACCTCCCAGCATGCGTTGGTTTCCTGTTCGTTTCCCTACCACCTCCAACCCTGAAGTGGCTTCTCCTTCTGGGCTCCCTTTCAAACCACCCCCAACACGGCGGTGGCACCAACTCCTCAAAAAAGGCCCCCCGGGCTTGCTTCGCAGAATCTCTGAACTTCCAAGGCTCCGAATCTCCGAATCCGCCTTTCTGAAATGAAGGGGGCCCAATTCGTTTCGACCCACCCGTTTTCGAGAACAAGCCAAAAAAGGTGACCTGGAGAGCGAAAAGAACGATGTGTGTTTTCTTTCCCCGCGCCCGCCTGTTTTTTGGGACCCATCAGCCTGTTGAACTTCCCCCGCCTCTGCCCGGCGCCGCCCTGCGGCACCGCGTCGGAGGGCACCACGAGGCACAGCACCCCCCAGCGCCGGTCCGGAAAGCCTGAGTCCACTGAGCGAGGCGCCGGTGCGGTCGCCAACCCACTCAGCGATAGAAATTGGGTGGGTGAGGGCGGGTGAGCTGGGTGGATGGAGTGGTGGGGTGGGGGTGAGGGTGGGTGAGGTGGGGTGGGTAAGGTGTTGGTGAGGGGCTCTTTCTGCTTGAGCACGCGTGGCCATAATGCATGTTGCCTCGTGCTTGAAGCAAATTTCTCTTCGCATCGACTCTGTGACAGTCGCCGCAATACAAAAGGCACTTCCAACATGACAATGGTTAATCATGTCACTGAAGTCATGCGCGCAGGGAGCTAAACCAGTTCTGACTTTCAGGGCTACTCATGCCAACTCCCAGGAAACCAATTTTCGAATTTGGGGTTTCGCATGCTAAGTTGCGCAGACGCTGCTGCGTTTTGGGGGCCTTGCGGGTGCAGATTGTTCGGTGTGAGTTTCGTTTGTTTTGTGATGGCCAATGTCTTTGCTTTTGCTGGGCCTTGCGCACGTGGCGTTCACATGATTTCTGCACGTAGCCCCCCCGGTTGCTGAAAACGCGTGCAGACCCATGGACATCAAAGTTGAGCAACGCATCTCGGCACCCCTCATCTGAAGGTGGGAGAGGTTTATAAGGGTGTATCCTTCCCAACTGCAAGATGCTGTCCATCCACAGCATCAGCTTCCCTACAAAAGGGTGGATTGGTGCGGGCAAATGCAGCAAGCATCCTCCTTTTCCCCTCACGGGGCCTAACCCAAAACAAGTTCGCCCAAAGCGGGCGGAGGATGACATAGATCCTGCCTCAACACGCAGCAATGAAGCTTCGGGAAGTCCTTCTTGGGTTAAATATGCCAACCAAAGCGAACCTGCAACAAAAAGAAGACAAGACACCGCCAAAGCGAGCAAAAAGAGCACCAACAAAACACACAGACACACGAACACAACAATACTACACATCATCGCAGCCATAGTTAGGGCTAGGACGGGTTTGCTTTGCAGCTGGCTTGGTTTTGCTGTTTTTGGCGGAAGTAGCTTGTGAGGAAAGTGGGTCTGTGCGCGGATAGGGCGGGTACCCTCGCAAAGACACGCAGCCACAGAACCAGGTGAACCCCACCGAATGGGTGATTTATAAATGGGGTACAGCCTGGGCCACCAACTTCCTGCTTGGAAGACCCAAGTGGCCATGAATTTCATTGGGGAACCACCCACAAAGTCACTGTGAACCTTCTACCGAATTTTGATGCCCACCGTTTTCGGGCCCCTGAGATGTTCAGAGCCAAGTAGGGCCCAAGTGGGGCACCCCATCTACCGAACAAACACTTCCCAGGGTCCGCGCCGCCGCCGTCGCCATCGGTCTTAAACTCCACCTCAGCGAGGAGTCTGCTGCGCGGGTGTTGGGTGCGGGGGGGTCCGTCCGTGTTGCGCCCTGAGCCGTGGTCCGAACAAATGCTTCTACAAATGGTGCCCAAAACATTTGTCCAATGGGTCTAAAGCATTCTTCTAGAACTGGAGATCAAAACATGGTCCGGACGACAGCTCCGAAGCATGGAATAGCTCTCAAACATGGAAACCCAAGACATGGCTCGAAAGACAGCCTGCTTCTTGCAGTTGTTCCCAAATTTTAAGCCACTCCCCCGCTCAGCGTTGAGCATGGGACCTGCTAGGTGATCCGAATGTAAGCAAATCATCCGGAATTCTCTGTGTGTGTCTGTGCGCATGTGTGTCTGTGTCTGTGTGTGCCAAAAGATTCGAAGATCAAACGGACCCTGACTGAGCATCATAGTGACTTGACATGCGCATTGGTGCTTCGCCAAGTAGGGGTCCCATTTTGGTATAAGTTTGGGGAACAAAAAACAAGCAACGACCTGGGCAGATGCTGAATTTTCAGAAACCACACGAGAACTTAATCGGTGAATCTCCGAGTCTCCTTCCAAGCCTCGAATGGGTGCCCTCTGGTTGGTTTCCTCTGGGTTTCCCAGCAATTACCAAAGAGAGGACAGTCGAGCTGGCTTTCCCTCTGTGGTTGATCAATCGACTTGCGGCTTTTCCCTTGCAACCATCGCCACTTGAGCTTCAAAAAAAACCAAACCTTTGGAGAGGCTGGGCCCGTCGCGGCCGCCAAGGCGCCGAGGCTTCGTTGACGTCCACGTCGAGGTCTTCGAAGCCCTCGCCGCAGAACTGGGCGTTGTCCGTGGGGTCCGGCGCCTCGAGCTGCCCCACGCCGATGCGCCGGGGGCTTTTCCGTCGGACCGTTGGGTCGGTTTTGGAGGAACGCCCAAACGAAGTCGCGGTTTTGGAGGGGCCAAAAACCAGCCCCCATATTAACTGGTTGGTTTGGCGTCCCCCAAAAGAAACGCAGGTCGCCTGCAAGAAGGACACAAACAATTTTCTTTTTGATACTGAGAGGGGTCGTGTTTGTTTAGGGGTTCCCTTGGTATCGCGAAACATGGGCTACAGGGTTTTCGATATTTGCCCCGAACACAGCATTTCAAGGGAAACCCCTCGCTTGAAATTGAAGCTCCCGTTTGGGACCTTAGGTGATTCATGCCTCCCTTTAAATTGGGCCTCCCTTTTTAGGGAGGCCAGGGTCCAAACATATGTTGCACTGCTTGCAGCCTACGGAATGCAAACGACTGATCTTCAGACACTTCCTTCCCTGGCCCACATTACTTATAGGCTTGGGATTTGGGTTAGAGATGACGCATTTGGGTGCAGAAAACGTTGAACGAAGCTTGGAAAGCGGGGTTGGGGCAAACGAATCAAATTCGCATTCTCCGACAATCATCACTCGAAACAGCTTCAAAGAACCCCAAAAATCCGTTCTACCCCTGTATTGGTGACCTTGGACTCGTAGGCCCAAGTCAACCTGCAGGGGCATGGGACTCCGATCGACCCAGGGCCCCAAAGCGTCGAGTGAAGCTGTGGACAGTCTGTTGTTCGGGCAGGCATCATTTCGGCCGAGGCATGTGCCTTCGGGGGAGACAATCTGCAACTCACCATGCGAAACATCCCGAACCCCACCCCCCCACCCCCAACAAAAATCAAAATATCATTCTCCTTATTCTGGGTGCTTTTCTGGCGGGAGAACAACTCACCTTGACTGGAATGAAAAGGTGTTCAAACCACCCCAAAGAGAAATCTAGCCCTTCTGTTCCTTTTACAGAGAGGGCCATAATCACTTTACAATCCGCGAGTTTAAAGTTGGGGGGGAGACATGGTGCTACACCAACCCTAAAAACAATCACACGGACACAGACACAGACACAGACACAGACACAGACACAGACACAAACACAGACACACACACAGACACGGACACACACAGACACGGACACGGACACGGACACGGACACGGACACGGACACGGACACAGACACAGACACAGACACAGACACAGACACAGACACAGACACAGACACACACACACACACCCACACACCCACACATCCACGCACGCACGCACGCGCTCCCACACACACAGACACACAGACACAGACGCAGACACAGACACGCACACACACACACAGACACACACACACACAGACACTAGCACACACAGACACACACACACACACACAAACAGACACACACAAAGACACACAAACACACACACACAAGCACAAACACAAACACCAACCACCAACCACCAACCACCAACCGCCAACCACAAACCACCAACCCCAAACCCACAAACCCACAAACCCACAAACCCACAAACCCACAAACCCACAAACCCACAAACCCACAAGCCCACAAACCCACAAACCCACAAGCCCACAAACCCACAAACCCACAAACCCCCAAACCCACAAACCCGCAAACCCGCAAACCCGCAAACCCGCAAACCCGCAAACCCGCAAACCCACAAACCCGCAAACACGCAAACACGCAAACACCAACCCACAAACCCAGAAACCCAGAAACCCACAAACCCGCAAACCCGCAAACTCGCAAACCCGCAAACCCGCAAACCCGCAAAACCACAAACACACACACAAACACACAACGCACACGCAAACACAAACACACAAACACACAAACACACAAACACACAAACACACAAACACACAAACACACAAACACACAAACACACAAACACACAAACACACAAGCACACAAACACAAACACACAAACACACAAACACACACACAAACACACAAACACACAAACACACACACAAACACACAAACACACAAACACACAAACACACAAGCACACACACACACACACACAAACACACAAACACAAACACACAAACACACACAAACACACACAAACACACACACACACAAACACACACACACACACAAACACACACACAAACACACACACACACACACACACACACACACACACACACACACACACACACACACACACACACACACACACACACACACACACACACACACACACACACACACACACACACACACACACACACACACACACACACACACACACACACACACACACACACACACACACACACACACACACACACACACACACACACACACACACACACACACACACACACACACACACACACACACACACACACACACACACACACACACACACACACACACACACACACACACACACACACACAACACACACACAAACACACACACACACACAAACACACAACACACACAAACACACAAACACACAAACACACAAACACACAAACACACAAACACACAAACACAGAAACACAGAAACACAGAGACACAGAGACACAGAGACACAGAGACACAGAGACACAGAGACACACACACACACACGCGCATCTCTCAACGTTCAACCACTTGATTTATGGTTTCCTTTCATCATTTAAGCCAACAAACGATGTCTCCGGATGGAATCTGAGAGACCGGGCTAAGCACTCGAAGACCAGCGTGACATCCTGCATCTCCAGCAGCTTGTTGACGGCTTCTGGGGAAGATTGCAGCTCCTCCTGCGGCGTCGGACTCGGTGATTTCGCGATCAAAGTCGCCCTCGTTCCAGTGGTAGATTCACGGGAAACCATTGAGCAACCAGTCTCTGACTTTAACATAAACTCCAACGTCGATTTTGGGCCAGGCAAGTTGTCTTCGGCTTTCTGCGGAAGCCCAACGCTTCGAGGCCCCCGCCCCCCCTGTGTTTGATTTTCACCTTGATCTCCATGCAACCGTCTGGCTCAAGGCCCTTTCTTGCACAAATTGCACCATTCATGCGATAGCCACATAAAAGGACGTATTTGCAGGCCGCTTACAGTGAAACACAGTAATCAAGAGCCACATTCTCTTGCACTCCATATTTGCATATTGGATTTCCTGCAGAATACATCCAGGGACCACATATACGATCCTCTACTACCACAAGGTATCCGTTCCCTACTGGGATACCCGCGGCAGTGAGACCCACCCCCCCCCCACCCCAAAAGGATTTCAACATGGACCAAACTTCGTGGGGAACCCAGCAAACCAAATCAAATAGCAAAAGCAAAAGTGTCGCTGCGTCCAAATGAACGCTGGGTATTCCAATCGAGACCCAAATACCTTTCGCAAGAACATCAACCGGGCGGAGTTTCGCACCGGCTGGGACTGTCCCCTTCAACGAAAGGACATTGTCCGGATGCCATTGGTTTAGGCATTGGCTTCGAAGAAACCCACGGAGAACGTAAGAGACCCTCAGAATGACGGCCTCTTCGCTGGACGCAAACCCAGTCTACACTATGAACGCAATATCCAAATGGTGAGTTCAAAACCAAACATTGTGCGTGGTTAAACTGTTTTGTGTGAATGAAAGGGAAACCAAAAGAACTCCCCCCCAGACAGGCGAGTACGTTTTTAAGTCGGTTATGTGGTGTCTTCTTTGGACGTCCCCGTTTCACCTTGGCTCAAAGGGACACAAGGGTCCAATGACACCCTGTAGGGTCCCAGCCCCATCCCCGGCTCCATGGTGATCGGAGGTCTCTTCCCAGTGTTCTCCTCGAACCGCGCGGATGCGAACTCCCACATGCAAGGCACGGATTCAATGCTTAGACTGAAAGGCTCAAAAATATACATGTCCAAAAGGAAGTGGCGAACCTTTTGGAACACGGGATCCATCACTCCGTGCTTGATTTCTTGTGGCCCATAATTCCTGATATGTCATTTGGGGGCTTCTACCACTTTTTGGCGGGTCCCTAACTTTGAGAAACACACGACTTTGGCTCAAGTGGATCCTCGGGTTCATCCCCATTAAACGAGTGGCTGAAGCTCCTCATTGACCCATTGTTTCCGTTTTTGGGTGGGTTCAATCCCAGGCTGCTGGTGGTTGTCCTACGTTTTCCCCGGTGACCTACTGACTACCCTCACAAACAAACACAAACCACACACGTATACAAACAGAGAGAGCGAGAGAGCAAGAGAGAGCGAGAGAGAGAGAGAGAGAGAGAGAGAGAGAGGGAGAGAGAGAGAGGGGGAGAGAGAGAGAGAGCAACAAACACGAAAAAGGAGCCAAAGAAACACACACAAAACAAAAACACCTCACGACAAAAAAGAAAGTGAATAAACAAACACACACAAACAAACAAACAAACAAACAGACAGACAGACAGACAGACAGACAGACAGACAGACGGACAGACAGAAAGGACAGACAGACACAACCACACAAACACACAAGCACACAAACACACAAACACACAAACACACAAACACAAACAAACAAAGAAACAAACAAACAAACAAAGAAACAGACAAACACACAAACAAAGAAACCGACAAACTAACTAACAAACAAACAAACAAACAAACAAACAGACAAACAAACAAACACACACACAGACTCGACAAAAGAGTGCAGCAGTGAAAATGTATTTTCTTTTTTCTGGGGGCCATTCCATAGCTCTCATTTCCTGCATCAGCAAGAAAAGTGAGAAACCGAGGGGTTTCTTTGGTACCCCAACAACACTGGGTGTGTGGTCCCCCGGATAGAGTGCGCGGGTTCGAATAGCCTCGAAACAGCGCTCGATCCGTAAGCTCGATCTTTTATGTCTTTGCCAGCTATGATCCACTATCAAGACTAGGGATCTAAGCTAACAGTTGAACCTTGAGCCAAATGGCGTCTTGTATTTTGCACTGATGGCCCACAAACTATTCAACTATTCACACCCCCCCACGCAGTGTGCCTCATTCTGCGCACAGGCGTTGAAATTGTGGTAACTCCATTTCATGATGGGTCCATCAGTATGCAACCACACTCCCTGCCGGCTCGTTCATGTTGATTTGCACAATCTCGAGTCGTGAGACGCTCAAACTTTACTGCAATTCTGCAGTTGACGAATTCTAGCGGAGGCTGGACATGACCTAGTGAGAAAAGCAGCACTGGGCACGAACGTTCCGAAAGACGGTCACGTTTTTCTTCCGTAAATGCGCCGGGCGAAATCACATCATAACCCTCATAAGAAGATGCAATACCATCGGCGGCCCCTGCATCCCAGAGCCAACACATTGGTACCAACCCGATTGTCGGTCCACCCCCGACCGCTCCACACCTTAGCCTTGGGCTCTCAGAGAGTAATACCCCCCAGCAGCGTGCCATATGTGAAGGATTAGCATAACAGCTTTCCCCCATGCCAGATCGAAATAGAGCATGTACTCAGGAAGTCCATTTTGCCGCTGAATATCTGCTTCGACGTTGGAATACTGTGGACAAGGAATGGAATGTGCATAAGGCATTGCACGCAACGGTATCCTTGGTCCGATGAGCGGTACCCATCAGGTCATGCCCGCGCCCGGTGTCCATGAGCCATTTCATTCTTTTAGGCTTACCCGACTTTGCCACCATAGCGATTGCATGTTGGATTTCTCTCATGGATTTGAAATCACCGATCACGGGGCCATCACCCTTCTTCCTAGCTCTATCCACATAGTCAATCTTCTCATGGTTGTCCCCTATGAGAACAATTTCCATTGTGTATTCGCTAGAAATGGGCATTTGATAGAAGTCTGCAAGTCACGAACGTGCTTCTCAGCTCGCCAGCCTTCGCAGCCCTGCTCGCTGCCATCTGGTATTGGTCTTCCTTTGCACACTCAGCGCTGACCATCCCGAGATCCTTCCCTGATGGAACCAAGAATATTCCATGTCAGCTTCATTTCTTTCGTGGGAATTGCACGAAGGGCTCCGATTGCAAATGCAGTCATCAGAAGAGTACTTATACGCCAGCTAGCTTTTCAGCAGATCGGAACCATTCTTCCCTCGATTCACTTCCAGACAGGTGTTGAATCTGATCCCTCAAGGTTTGGATCTGTCCATCCTTGTTGGTAACTATGTTGTTATGGTGCATCTCCGCACCCCTCAACTTGGCCTGCATAGTCAATTCCTCTTGTTTCATTGTTTCTCGAAGACGCTCATTCTCATGACTGAGCTTGGCCCGCAATTCGGTACCAGAGCTGATCATGGACTGATACTCATTGGTGGCCTCGACCGCCTTCCGCAACGAAGTTAAAATCTCACTGTTCTCGGCTTGCATTTGTTGAGTTTCACTGTTGAGTCATGAGCGACTGCCTCAACCTCATTCAGTCTATTCGACTTGATGTTCAACTGATCCATCGCCAAGTTGTACTCATCTCTTATTCTTCCATGAACGTGAGCAACTTGCGATTCAAGGGCACGATTCATTCTCTCAAGCCCCAGGATCCTCTGTAGGCTTCCCGCCTCATCGGATTCCAGTTCGTTTATGGCTGATTGCAACGATGCACACGCCTTCTTCAATGAATTGTTCTCGTCAAGCTGTTCTGCAGCCTCGTTCATCTGTGCTTCCGCCTTCCCTTGGGCTTTCCGCAATTCAGCATCGAGTTGTTGATCCGCGCTTCTGGGGTCACTTGGGGAACCCCTTGGGGAGGATGAGAAAAGTCAACTTTTCTCCCTTACGAGATTTACGGATTCGTGTCCGCCCCTCTTCTTCTTCTGACGGTACGTACTCTCGATTGGGAGGAAGCCCTTGCTACCATCTCGATCCGTAAGCTCGATCTTTCATGTCTTTGCCAGCTATGATCCACTATCAAGACTAGGGGATCTAAGCTAACAGTTGAACCTTGAGCAAAATGGCATTGTGATTGTATGTCTTGTATTTTGCACTGATGGCCCACACACTATTCACAAAAAGTGCCACAAGAGACGGCCGCCGTGGGGCCAAAGCCTCTGGCGTCCGGCGTCAGTTGAGGCCCCTGCCGCACCGAGGGTGTCGCTCAAGGAGAGCACCCAGCCCTTGCGCACCTCGGGCGACATGTGACTCGTCGCACTTCCGCTGTCCGCTTTCTCATTGCAAAAAGTGAAGAACTTGGGTCACATGGAAACGCCAACGAACACAACGAAAAACAACCAACGAAAAACAACTAAACGAAAACACACTTGTCAAATGGAATCCACCCAAACAAGAAAAACATGTAAACACACGAGGGGATGGCTCTGCTAAAAGTCGAGGTTAGCTTTTGGTGGGTTGAATCGAAACCAAACCAAGCCAAGGAAAAACAACAAACATTTCGAGGGGATGGCTCTACAAGTGAATAACTTTTAGTGGTAATTATCAACTGACATGGGAACATTTAGTGAGTGATACTTTGCTGTAGATCACAGCAAATACTCATTACCCATTGCCCATAGTTCATGTGAGCATCAAAAGGGCGGATAACGCTGGGACTGTCCTCCACTGGGTTTTGAGCAAGTGGCTAGGTGGCACGCTGCTTCACCCCAAGACGCGCCCCGCCCACTCCGCGATGTCGGTGTGTCTCAAAATAAGTGAACCTCCAAAATAGGTGATGTCCTGGTGGCAAGAAGTGTATTCTCGAAGAAACACACTCTCACACCCATGTTTGGGCGGGTTTATTGTTGACCCCGGATTGAGAAACACCTGCTTGTTAACATGAGGGCGTTCCCCCTCCACAAGTGGTCCGAATCCCCACTACCAGGGACACCCCCCTACTAATAGGGTATATTAATCGGAGGGCAACAACCAAAAAACGGGCAGAACCCTTTTTGTTGGGCGGTACTGGAGCCCGGCAGATCCGTTCAGGGAATCACCTACGAAGAAAAAACAAAGGAAAAGCAGCTGGTTTAAGGAACTGGATGGCTGGGAAGCACCAGGAGCTTGCACCTGGGATCTGACTTGGTGCAAGAGATGCGGGGAATGAGAAATGAATGAACCTGGGGTGCCTTCAAGGAAGCCTGTTGGATGGTTTACGGTTGGGTTGACTTGCTGGTGCTCAGCATGAGGGAATGAACCTGAAAATCCCCCAAAGGACACCACCCGTGGATGGTGTCACATTCGGGTCACCCGCATTCACCTCATTCGCCGCATCTCTCGCACCAACCCAAAACCGAACCCCGCGCTTCGCTCGCCGCGCATCAACCGCTCCGAACCCCGAGGCACGCCCGCAGTGTAGGCCAAGCCCGCGTCCAGGTCCGAGATCACGGGGTCGTTGCCGATTTCGCGGGCCTGGCAACCCGGCGGGTCAACCGGGGGCTGTCTGTTTCTGGGGGCACCGTCTCTTTGGGGCAGGATGTCGCTCTTTGGGGTGACGTGTTTTTTTTTTTTGGAAGGGAGGGTGCACCCATTTGTTGGGTTCCAACCGAAAACAAGACGCAGCCTTTTGAATGCAGCACCGAAACGTGTACAAAGGGAGAAAAATGCGCCATTGTTCGGTCTGTGCCTCGCAAACAATTAAACATGCAACCAATTCAACAGACAAAAGCCAGCTCCAAACATGCAAGGGTTGGTGTATTTACATGGTCCTCTACAACCACAAGCCCACAACCGAAGCCCGAGGCGGAATGGCCGAAAAGAAAGATGTTTGTTGTTTTGTGCGGGAGGCCGTATGTCCGGGGGGAGTTTGGGGATGGTCCCCCATTTCCGCTCTAACCATCACTCCCCCAAAGAAAACCAACAGAAGGCAATACCGGAGGATCTATCCAAGCCACAGGTGACCAGGAGTTGTCTCGTTGCTTCTAGGTTTCACACAGTGGTTTTCACTGGTTCCATGCACAGGGGTATTGCTGCCAGGGCTTGGAGAAACTGGACCATGGGGAACCCATCTAGAATCGACGTTGTTTCTCTTGGTGTTCCTTCCCCAGCCGTATGTCAGGTAACCCTGAGCTGGGTTTACCCACCACCAGACCACCGATTCGGCTCCCAACAGCCAAGTAGGGGTTCCCTGAGCCTCTTGTTAAGGGGTCCCACAAGAACCAGACGTTCAACCCCAATCCAAACCGGTTGGGCTCCCAACCCGCCCTTAAGGGAGGCTGAAAGTTGGCTTCCAAGTTTTCCTCTCCCGTCCCGTTCCAGCCTCAAAGGCCTTGATCTCGTCCCCCACCTTCTTGCCTGCGCGTGGCGCATGGCGCGTAGGCATGGGCCGGCATGGGCTCGGCATGGGCTCAGCATGGGCTCCATGGGGCGCTCAAGTTGATGGATTGCTGAGTATCTTGAAAACTGGTATTAGTTAAATAAGAAGAGTGCAGCAGCTCAACCTGTTTGAATGTAGGGGCATATCTTGAAAGCAATTATTAGATCAGGAGAATGTAGGGTACGGCATAACTCGATTTGACGTAGCCACGCAGATTACGTCATGATAATTAGTAGAGGACCAACATCAGAATGCCATTCGGTAGCCACGCATATTTGTTGCGCAAGATATGCGCTGGATTGCGCCCAGTTGCACTCAGTAGCGTTAGGCTCGGCCGCTCTCGACGATACGGTTGCGCAGTCCGTGGAATTGAGTCCCTTTTGCAGCATCCTGGTGCCGACAAGTCGGTCACACGGGAATCTATTGCCATCTTTATGTAGCCATCTCTTTCTGCAAGAAAACAAACCAAGGAAGGAGCCGCATTTCTGCTTGGCTCCCAGTGATTTGCAAAAATGAGATATCATGATCGATTTCCTACGTTTGCGGGTAGCTTGACAGGGCAGCGCACACTCTCCAATACGCATGCCTGGTCGCGCATGCCGGCACGCCTGTGAAGGTGATATGCGCCTCCGGCACCAAACGGTGCGACATGCCTCGGAAATCCAACGAACGGCATGGCTTAGAGCGAAGAATTCGATCCGCTGAAGGGAAACCGCCAGGATGGTTGCGGGATCTGAGAAGCAAGCCAAACCTGGCGGCTCCTGAGTCCTTGGGAAAACAGGCTCAAGGCCCAAAGGATCCGACGTAGGCCGACAATTAGGAACCCTAGGGAAGTCACGTTGGCTGTCCTTTAAACCAACCGCAAGAAGGGGCATCCTCAAAAGCAGAGCCACCCCATGATGCTATACCAGAACTCACGGAAAGCCCATCGCTTTCCAGACATGCTAAGCTCCGCTTAAGGAAGAGATGGTTACTCCACAACGAACTGGGGGTTCAAGCTGAACAACCCAAGAGCAACAGTTGGGTTTCGGCTTCCCCCGGCATACTCAAACACTTCACATACTTACGACCAGCAGCTCCTACTACTATTCACCCACCGGAATCCCAGGACTTTCATCAGCCGAGCTCAAAGATAGTTTTGTCTTTGTGGGACCCCTTTTTTTGGGGTGGCTTAAAGGGGAAACCAGGAAACCAACAGGAAAATCCACCGATCTTTCGCCCCTCCACGAAAAAGAACGCGCAAACCCATATCCAACTGCGAGGCCGAGCTCATGGCAAACCTGGAAGCCTGGCTTCCAGTTGGCTCTCGGCTTTTTCTTTCGCCATGTCCCTCAACCCATGGAAGGCATGCCAACCCAATTCTCCACTTCCCACGTGGGGTTGGCCCAAAAAAGATCTGAATGGAAATCAAAGCGAGACAGGTCGGAGCTGAGAAAGGGCTGAGCTGTTTATTTGCCACAAAGACGGACCGCCGATTGAGACTTGCAAGGGGGATGGGTTCGGAGCAATCGAGCAGAGCGCTGCGGCCAGGCAGCCGTTGATAAACTCGAACACCACAGACTCAGCGACCGAGTCACGCCGACCGCTTCGGAAAATGCCCCCACAGCACATGGGACAATTCGTGAGCCCCCTTGCTTGTGGTAAACTTGGGTCCCCTCATGTCGTCCCCAAACCAATAGTAGTAGACTACCACTCCCAGGAGCGTTTCGGGCCCATTTTGGCAAACATAGGCGTCCTTTCGGTTGGCCTAGGCTCAAAATGGGATCAGCCCCCTGTCCTTTTGGTTTCAGTCAAGAATATCACGCCAAAAGGGATCCAGCATGTGGGAGAACCCCAAAACGAGCCCCCGACACCCACAGATTTTCGATTGGGGAACCCTTCAAGGCGATTCGGAAACTTTTCCATGAAGACCTTTTGCCAGTCGCCAGGTCCGTCAGAACCCGTTGGACCCATTGGACCCCAGACGCGACCCGTTGCCGAGCGAGGCACCTCCTCCTCTCCCCAGTCCGTTTTGGAGAGCGCCGCCTGAAGCCTCCGCACGTTGCCCTCCAGGTTTTTCCTCAGGTGGCTTGGGTGCTTCGGTTTTCCTGTTTGATTTTGGGGGCTGGATGCTTCTCAGGTTTTCTTAGGGTTGAAATGGATTTGCTGAGGTTTTCCAAAGTTGGGGTTCTGGGGAGGTTTGAGGTTTTTGCTTGGATTTTCTGAGTTGCCGGTTCCCAAGTTTAGGGCAACCCAACTCACCGCAGATCTCTTGATGTTTTCAGGTCCCCCAAGTGCCCTTTGCTTCTTAGGCCAGCTGATTCAGCTGGCTGGTCCTCAGGGACGCCGAGCGATGTAATCCCCGCGGTGTATGAGATCCCATTCCCGCAGGATCCGATCGACATCAAAATCGAAAGACAAATGGTGTATATATATATATATATATATGTGTATATTATATATATATATATTATATATATATATATATGTATTATCCGATAAGCTCTCTAGGGTTACACATGAAACGCCATGCTTTGCATGATTCATCCACTGTTGGTTGCGGCAGTTGCCCTCGCACCCAGAAAAAAAGAGTGTTGGTATGGGGCAAATGATGAAGCACAGGCGCTGGTTGAATAGGTGTCCACAGCTCCAAAGAGCGGTCAGATCCGAATGCAAGGGTAGGCATGCGTCAAAAAACGTAGGGGCACCCCCAAAGTGGGCTTCGGTGTTCCTCTCCATACTGCAAACCCAAACTTGGGCGCCTTTCCGTTGCTCCAAGGACCCAGTCACCACGGCCCCGTATCTCAACTTCCGAGTGGTTTAGCGCCAAGGTTTGAGCCATTCAGCGGTGGAAAGCCGGGGCCACGCGCGCACAGAAACAGAAAAACCAGCGAAGCGGCCTTAACGGGAAGCAAGGCTCCCTCGGCAAATTCGATGATGAGATCATCCAGATGTGATCGGAGAAAGCGGGACAAAATGCAAAAAGCTGCACTTTCAGGAAAAGTCCCCTTCTGTTTAAAAAGGGGTTTGCCCCTTCCTTCACAACAAAAGCCGAAAAGGTTTTCGCAACTCTCTGGGAATTGGTCTGGGCTGTGAAGGAGACCCCCCCCTTTCGCCGCGGTGCGAGATGTCTTCCGCGGTCTGCGGGGGGTCTCCGCCGAAGTCACCTGAACCCGGACTCCGTCTACGAAAGCACACAGTCAACCATTGCACATTGGACCAACACAGCAGACACAGAGGGAGGGCCCCTAACCGAAACGCTCACAGAGTCAGAAAGGGGGTAAGGGCTCTGAGAACCTTCAGGAGTCGCCTGATTTCTCGTCAATGGGACACCCAATAGGTCAAGCAAATTCGGCGGTGGTCTTTTTGGCCAATCAAGAGAACACACAACTAGCCAGTCATGACGTTTAACCAAGAGGACAAAATGGGAATGAGACCTCTTGCTTGCTCCCATGTGCATGTTTGGTGTAAACATGAGGAATATCTACCATTTATCGGTCGTGGAACCTACCTACGAACTGCTTGAAACGTTGAATAAAGGCCTTTTGGGCTTGGAGAAACAAAGATGACACTGGGAAATAAGCGCCAAACACAGCAAACACTGGAATATGTTTATGTTGAACCAAACTGGGCGACAAAAAGCATCTACGGCTAATTAATGAGCATGGGTGTCGTTCTTCTGACTTTATCGCGCTCCACAAGGTGTACCCAGTCCAAAAAAACACACTCCAAGATTTCCCTAGTTCAGTGCTTTGCACATCCGGCAGGCCCCTTCTTTTGCGGAAGCCCGTTGGCTCTTTTCTCTCCTCTGTATCTCTATCGGAATCCTCTATGAATCCGCCAAGCTTCCGCAAGCTTGCCCCAAACAGTCCATCGACCCTTTAAAGAACCTCGGTCCCGGAAGGGAAACCGCTGCAACCGCTCACCCATGTTCAACCCGTGCAACGTGACAAACATGAAAACAATCCCCAGGCATCAGTAAACCAGCAGTCAAACTCTCAAGCGCAGGTGGCTCAAAAAGAGAAGAGACCGGCAAGCGCCAGAGTTTTACCCCTACAAATCATTCCGGCAAGCCTAGTTCGTCTAAATATCAGACACGCAAGAGATGGGTCTGTCTTTTGTTGAGGGTACCCCAGCATTCTTGGGGGGTCTTCACAAAAGACACACCCAAATCATTGCGCCCCATCTTGATGCTGGTTCCAGTTGCCAGCCGGGTTTTCATTCTGCCTTGGGTTCCATCATCCTCTTCTCTGCGAACGTACTCGAACAATGGAACCTTGACCAGTCACCGGGACAGGCGAAGGGTGTGTTGTTATTGTTCAGCGTGTTTATTGTCATTATTGTTGCTATTACTATTATTATTACCACTATTATTGTTATTATTATGATTTACTGCTCTTTTGTCAAGTTGGTTTAAAGGGAAACCAACAGAAAAAACGTTGCGCCAACTTTTTGAGGGTCGAAATCTGTGCAAGCCTTGCTATGGTAGAAAACATGCTGTTTTGCAGCCCCCTATTATAATGGGATAGAATAAAATATTAAACTTGAAAACATACCAACAGTATCCCACAGTGCAGAAATCCATATGGGCGCGGTTTTTCAGGTTGGACCCACCAAAATGTTTAGCTTCCTTTAAAGCCAACCAACAGGGGCTACCAACTCCAAAAAGACTGGAGCTCAGCCACCCATATCCGCTTGCCTCGTTATTTGGTGGTTTGGAGCCCGGTTTTGGTGAAATGGAGGGCAAACCCCATTCACCCTCTGCAAAAAGGCAGGGGTTCCAATCCCCAAACCCACCATAGCCACCAACTAAGAGTGACCTGCCCATATGTGAGTGTGGGTCAAATTAAACCACCAGCAAGACCGCAGGTTTTAGTCCTTGGTTCCATTCCGATTTGGGTACCTATTTTTGACCCACAGCCACGTGTTGCCACCCCAAGGCACAACGAGCGAAAACGCTTCGCCCCGGATTTTCTTCGCCTTGCAGGTCCGCGAAGAGGCTCTGAGACTCCCCCAGCAAGGTATTGAACTCGGGTGCGAAACGGTGGGCGAAACCGTGGGGCTTGGAACGCACCAAGGGGGACGCGGCTCCAGGGATCTCTGGGTGGTCCTTTAAATCCCACCAAAACACCGGGTACCAACTCAGAAAAGGTCACTGGAATTTGTCTTCCGAACAGCAAGAGTTGATTTCTCGATCTACAGGTGGTTTCCCGTTGAAACGATCGCCCGCTTTTGGAGGGTCCAAAAAGGGAAATGGAGGAAACCCTGAGAAAATCAGGGAGTTTCATGAGTCTGTTTCGTTATTTGTCGATCATATCATCTGATTCTGCCCCGCTGGCTTTTGTGAGTTCTCCCCCCTTCTCGCCCTCCCCAAATGAAGAACAGACTGCCAGTACTCACTTCTTGACAAGATTGGAGCAAAACAAATCCAACCTTTTTGTTTCTAAATGCTTGGCCCGCCATGAGTTCCCGGTTGGCATTTCGGATTCCACTATCCCTCAATCCAATTCCAGCGGGCTGGTGGGATATACATCCACTCTCGGCATAGCGTGTGTCCACGCTTGGGGGTTCTTCAGGCAAACCCTGTCTTGGGCCGGAAGAGAAACCGCACTTGATACTTGCAAGAGGGATGAAACACATCCGCAAAATGGGTACCATAAATCCTTAAAGCTGATTTCAGGGCTCCCCAAGTGAAGGACCTTTATCACGGCTTTCGCTGTTTATACCCCCCGATCCGTATGCTTTTCTTCTCCCCTCAAAGGGAAATGACCCCCGGAAAAGGGAGAAGAGTGACTGGTGGAATTTTGGGGTTCACCCCCTGCTCCCAGCATGCTTTTCGGGGTTGGGCTCTTCCAACAGACAGCTCACTGTCAGACAGCAAAGGCCCAGGAATCCCTAACGAAGCGCATGGAACCTGTGGGATTGGACAAGCTGACCAAGGCACCAAGTCCACGCGCCACCACTCTTTCAGCCCCTCCCTCTGCGCGGCGCCCTTCTTGTCCTTGAAGAACTTGAGACCCACCTCGATCGGATCGCCCTTTTTCGCTGCATCGGCCAACTTTCTTTCGAAGGGGCAGGCTGATGTACTGAACAACTGGCAGACTGGTTGTTCCTTGTCAAAAGAGCAGGGCTTCTAATGTTGACAGGGGGTCCCTCCAGAAGAAAGGAATCCCACCCCCCTGATGAATCAATGGGGGGTTTATTCATCAGGGGTTGACATTAATGTTGACCCCTCATTGATAAACCATTTCTTTTTTAATCAATGTCGGGGTGTTCACCTCCAAAAGTGGTCCGAATCCCCACTAAAGCCAGGGAGAAGCACCCCCATAATTAAATACACAGGGGTTGACTACTCAGGGCTCGACTCTGATCCGCCTTTCCCTTCTGAAACTTCCACTCGCCGCCACGGCGAAAAAGAACCCACCAAAACGACGGGGAAATTCTCAAGGCGCTGGAGCCAGGGGTTGGTCGTAGTCCACCGTGAAGGTCTCAATCTCCGAGCCTGTCCAAAGAAGACGAGGGCCGAGAAAGCTGAACAGTTCAATCCAAGCCGTGAAAGGCCCCCAAATGACCATGGGGCCATGGGGTAGCTTGTTTCTCATGTGGCTGATGTCACACTTCTAGTGGTTTCCCCCACGGTCCCATGTCCAGGACCTTTTGATCAACACGCAGCCGGTGCGTTTCTCGGAAAAGGGAGGCAGTGTTCTTCTTGGTATTCCAAGGACCCAAAGAAGTGGAGGGATTTAGGTGGCTGTCCGTTTTCTCATCCCCTTCTAAAAGTTTAACCTGCGGGTCAAATGGAAACCCAACCGAAAACCCAAACCTAAACCCATTTGACCAAGGAGAACACGTCGTGGGGTTTAACCCCGTTTTGTGGTGTAGTGGCTTTTAGTGGGTCAAAGTTAAACAAAACCAACTAAAACAACTAAAAGCCAACGGAACCGGATGGCTGGGAAAACCGCCAAAATTTGGCAGCCCCAATGCTGATTATTGTTTACCACAACCAAACTGTCACCCCCATTCAGTGGTAGGTTACGCGGAAGCACTACCCCCAAAACTGCGTCCAAATGGCCGCAGCTCACAAGGAATCCGAAAATAATCCCGAAAAGAGTGAGTTGGGGGCCAACCGTCAACCGTTTCTGGGAAGAACCCCAATCCGTCCCACAAAAAGGAGGGTCCATGAGGGTCCACTTTTGAGAAGCAACCAACAGGGTTTGTCTCAAAGGATATGAAACCCCAAGAGGAAAGCCTGGGCTTTCCTTGCGCTTGCTCAAAGACAACAACAAAAGCACCGATCCTAACAACAATTTTGGCGTGTTGCCGGGTAATGGGGAACCTCTTGGGGGGGGGCCTTTTTGTTGGGTACCATGTTTGGGGTGGATTAAAAAAGGACACCCAGGGGAAAATCACAAACTTTTTGGGCGCTGCCTATTTCAAAAGGGTTCTCGGAGTTGGTAGACAAATAGGTCGGCGCTTGGAAAACCTATCGTTTTTGTTTGATTCGGATGGACTTTCGGATAAATTCATTGATGGATTTCCGGTGAACGTTTTGTTGCTCCAAAGAAAGCTCATGGTAATGCTCCCCACAAAAAGAAAACCCAAAAGCTTGGATGATGAATCCGTGCGGTTCATGTTCCAACGTCGAAGATGCAACGGTCTCACCAGGCAAGACTGGGCCAAGTGGCCTGGCAACTCCTCCTTCAGATTGTAGGTCACCCTCGGCTTTTCCAGCTTTTCTAGCATTTCTTCGCCCAACGTCGAATCCCAACCCCGGGAGAAAGCAATCCCTGCGGGTTTCCATAAGACATTCATATCACACGAGAGCGGCCGAAGCCTGTGGCAGATCAAATAGGGTAAAAATTGCCTAGGCTCTTGCTTAACATTTGCTTGAGTGTCTGTGTCTGTGCTTGCTGGCCGCCTGAGCTACCTCCCCCAACCAGCCGTTGCTTTGGCCTCGGAGCCGTTCCAAAGAGGGCCAAAAACGACGAGCCACCCATGTCAAATCCAGAGGTAAACATCCCAGCCTGCTACTGTATAGCGGCTTGCCTGGATCTGGGACCTGTTCAATCATGGAAATGGGACAGGGGGGCCAGACTGAGCTGACCAGTGAACACTGAACACAAATTTAATTCTCTACAAAACCAAGTGAACCTTAGAGGGGCCATGAAACTCCTCCTATATACACCCAACACCCGCTGTCCCATCGACTAAGAATGCTGTATGTACCACGGACTATGTTTGTCTTGTCACAAGCACATGTCAGGGATTTAAACAAAAATAATGGCCAAGAGAGATCCCAGCCTCGCTTTTTCAACGGACCGGTGACCACAGGAACTACCCGAAAAATCCCCCCAAGACCGTTCCGCTTCGGATGCTCCGCGGCGCTTGAGGCGCTCGAAGTTGTCCACCACAAAGGCCTTGGGGGCGATAGGAAGGGAGCACGGAGCCTCCGGGTGTGGGGGAATGAACCGGTAGGAGACGTGATCCTGAGCTGGTGGAGAATGTGATTTCGGATGGGATTCCCTTTTGGTGGGTGACTTCCATGTCTCATGCCCTGCCTGTCGAACCAGCAAGTACTTGGTGGCTTGGATTGGTGGCTTGAGTCTCTTCCTCTTGAAGCCAAATAGGAAGATCACCTCCACAAATTCCCAACCTCCCATGAGGAAGATACTACTAGCAGCAACCCGACAAGGGGTCGGGAAGACTAAATGACAAATAGATACACACAAAATGCCCCCCCTTTCCTCCCTCCCCTTCGCACCGGTGCCCCGCCCCCTCTCCGCTTGATTCAACCTGAAAAAGTGGTATTGATGGATTCCTGGGGGTCACCAGGGAACCCCCAAAAAACATCACTGTGTTCGCGGAATGATTTTCTGGCAATCCTAGTGCTGAGTAAGCTATGGAGCCTTAGACTTCAACATCTTCAGAAGGGGTTCACCCATAGCTACCGTGAAAGTTGGCAGTTTCCACAACAGGACACGGGAAAACGTGGCGAATCGCCTGGTGTTCACATGTACCGAACTATCATGTCGAGAGGCCAAAAGCGGGGTTCACCACCAGTGCTCCCTTTCGACTCATTGGCACAAGTGTGCCCCTTGCGGCAAAGGAGCTGTCCATGTGTCGTTGCTCTTTTATCGGAGCCCTGGATTAAACCAGAATTACTCCCAAGAAGAAATGGATTGCAGCTAAGAGCTCGTGAGTTTCTCGGTGAGCTCGGTCAAAACTCGTGAAAGTCATGGCGTCAGTCGGTTCCCTTGGTCAACAGCTCCCCTTTTGGTTGGCCATTTACCACGTTCAAGTGGTATGGTCGTCTTTTGATCGTGGCTCACATGCTGTTTAGGTTCTTCAGGGAACCCCCATGGCTTCGGGCGCATATGTCCAAAGTGAATCACATAAAACCCACTGAGCGTGCCCCATGTCCTAATGGCAATGTGGTAAGTGTGCCCTAGTCTGCCCGAGTGTGCTCACAAGTATATGAGCTTCCCTCTAGTTGGTGGTTTGGATTGGTGGTTTGGAGGTTGGGGGTGGGAAACCACCCTCCAAGAGAACCAAGGCTTCAACTCCAAATCCAAACCACCAATCCTACCCAACTAAGTACCTGAAGTATTGCTACGTTGTTGGCACCTGCCCAAAAGTCCAATCAAACATGTGGCAGAAAACGGTACAAACTGGGGGCCCCACATTAGTTAATCAATCCCAGCTTATACATATGGGGTGTTCCCTGCCAAAGGTGACAAACCCCCACAAAACCCAGGCACACACAACCAAGCAACAAACTGTGGTTTATCTCACTTCCTGAGTGGATAGGCCAGAAACAGTCCAAACTCTGTATTTGCCTCTAGAATGAAGGTGACCAAAGCCCAATCCAGGAAGCGCGGGTTTTCCCCACTGAACAGGTCCAGCGCACAGCCACTAAAATGAAGTGGGCTTTACTCTGAATTCATCCGGGACTCGTTGAGGGAACCAACGAACAAACCAAACGGAAAACCGATGGCTTAAGGCAGCGGATGGCTGGAAACCTCATCGAAGCCGAAGGCGCGAACTCGTCCGACGCCGGCATATTCTTCTTCGAGTCCTCCGGCTGGCAGATTCCAAGGAGGCAACTGGAGATGGGCGCCACTCAAAATTGCAGTTGGGAGTGTCTTCTTTTGAGTGTACCCCTTTTTGGATGGTGTTTTTTTTTTTTTAAAGGGAAACCCAAAGGAAACCCACCATGTTAAGTCCCCTTAAAAAAACAAAGACAAACCCCAGTTTCTTTTCTGTTGGTGTCCCTTTAACAAGCCACAAAAAACCAGGGTTCCGAGAAGAGGGTTCCGAGTTCATTTCGGGGCCTCAAAGGGGAAAAAGGGAAGTTGAGCTTGGGCGCTTGGGGAAACCCGCAAAAACCAAGTCAGCCGCAAAAAGGTGTTCAATCGGAAACTAATTAGAGTCGCAATCATGGCCGAAAAGTTGGTACTTGGGGCCATCCTCTAAGGGACATGTGCAAAAAGTCCTCAACGGAAAATAGACAAAGAGAAACACAAAGGGTCACACAACTGGCGAGATGCCAAAAGATCTCAAGTCAGCAAGCGAAAGATGGCCCTTGCGACACGAATCAAAACAAGGCCTCCGGCAACTAAATGACCAGAAAGGTCCCCTTGGTCACCCGCTATTGGAATCACGGGCATTGGAGCCTCTTAGCACAAGCACCCCCCCTCTATCCTATCGGCCTTGCTAAGGGCGCGGTTGCTTGTGAATGATATGGGGTTCATGACACACCAAAAGAAACCCTCGATCCCCGCGGAGGGTCTCAATCCTTTTGAGAAAAACACTGGGCACTAAAACCTAAACCAGCTAGAACGGGAACAAAACGTCACACAGAAAGAGGCAACTCAAGTCGACATAAATGGGCCATTTTTCCTGAGGACTCGGTTCAAAGGGACACCAAAAGGAACCATGCTATCTTGGGGGGGGATCTTTTGGGAGATATCAGATATCCAAATGCTTTTCTCCATGGCTTCAAAGGGCACGCTGCCTCCACCGCCTTGGGGGAGATTCCCTTCGATTCGGAATCCCCGATCCGATCCGCTCCTTCTTCACCGGCGGCGCTTCTTCGCCCTCGGGCCCTCAGAAATGGCAATGGTTTCGTCCGCTTCGCCCGGGTGCTTCGCAAGATGGGTGCTGTTCCTTTCGACATGTTTCCACATGGTGCGTGTGCCTTTTTGGCTAAAAGGGGCTGTTGTGCTGTTGGTGTCCCTTGAGACCAAGGGGTACCCTCAAAACAGACAGACGGCCCCCCCCCCCAAAGTGTCATAGTCAAAAACGCCTTTACTAAAAGGACATAGATCCCCGGCTATGGAGGTTTCCTCTTTGGAGTTGGTTCGCTTTCGGATCATTTGAATTTTGAGACAAAACCCAGATGGGGGTCCAAACATGGACGGAGTTTGGGGGGTCCCAAAACGGGGGGGGTTCAAGCGTGAGATTTTGGCCAGTTGACCCAGACAGGCGATGTTTTTCATCCGACTGGATCAAGAGAGTTCACGTGTTGCCCGTGGTTGCTCGCACAAAGGTTGGACCTGCCGGTGGAAAATTTGGACCAAAACGGCCCAAGAAGCGAAAGCCGTGCCCTTGGTGTCGAGACGGCGCTCCACTGGGAATGATTCTGGGGGGTGATTTGGTGACACGATTGGTACCCTTTGGGGTTGGCTCCTTGGTTGTTGACCCCTCTGCACGAAGCGGAAAATCCACCGTTTCAACCAAAAAATAATCTAGTCCAAGGATCCGTTGCCAAAGAGCCAGAACGGTTGTTGCCTATGAGCGGATTCCTTTCCAACCGGCCATGAACCCAAGGCGAATATTACCCTTCTGTCCTGCAACCGTGAGCTAGGCTGTGGCCCTTTGCCCCTTGATTGGAAGCTGCTAGACTTACCCAACGCGGGAATAGTATCAGGTTTCTTCACCCCCTAACACCATGATGTAGCGCAGAAGCCGAGAAGCCCCTTGGTGGCTTTCTGAAAACTCCTAGGATTCAGACCAGTCGCCATCTGAAACTACGACATTCCCACAGCCGGAAACATAAGCGAACCTTCCCCCCAGGAAAAGCAAGAACCTTCACCATCGTGTTGGCCCGTCGCCTTCCTCTTCTTTTCTGGGAACCGGTGAAGAAGAACATCTTCGGCAACCTTTGAAGCCATCGGTTGCCTCTCTGAATTCCGCATCGAGGCCACGTTTCTCCGGCCAGCATCTGCTGCAGTAGTCATTGCAGCACTCCTGCAAAATCAGTCCCCTCAGGTCCAACCAGCAAAACATGACGCTTCAGAGGAGTCCCTCAACCTTGGCTTTGTTGGTTCTTGCAACCCACTCGCCTGTGTTTTGGCCGGGATTGACTCCCAGATTTCCAAGCACATCGAAGAGAACCAGCTGTTGCCCTTTTGGCTTTTAAGGAGAGGTTCCCTTTCAAATCTCCTGCAAATGGGAAGGAACGACATGGAAGTAACTACCTCCCCACTCACGGTGTTCAAGTGGCATAAGCAGCACACGACAAAGGTCTCATAGCACTTCGGACTCCGATTCAGGTCGTGTCGCCGAGCGCGTCGTGGTGGAGTCAACGTTCCCACAAACAGAAGGAAGCTCCAAAAAGAAGCAGTTGATTGCAAATGAACATGTTTTTCAAATCAGACACTAAATGCGCAAACCTCGAAATTGCCGGAAATGCATCTTTGGCTACCCTGAAGGACGTCAATCCGAGAGGAGTACCCTCTGCGAGGTCTGTGAGGGAGGCCGATGTTCAAGAGACTAAGGGGCAGGACCTGTAAGCCATGGTCCAAATACTCACTTCCTGGGTGGATTGGTGCGAGAAAGTTCAAACTTCGTGTTCGCCAAAGTGGCATGCCCAAGCAGTTTTGAGTCTAGGAACTCAGGAACTGAGAATACATGCGGCTCCCAGCAAAAGGACACGGGAGAGTTCGCCGCGTGTCCCCGGTGTTTGTTTTTCTTTTTTTCGTGGGACGTTGGATATTTTTTCACCGAAACTCTGGTTCGAACAGAACGACTTGTATCCCGATGTGGCAAAAATTGGGGCCTGCCGGGCCCTCTCGTTCTCCTGAAATGAGGAGCGGACTACCAGTGCTTTCGTAGTAGATTGGCCCCCAGCAGGTCCAACCTGTTTGTTTACCACTAAATACTTGGCCCACATCTGGGGACAGTTTCTGCTTCACATTCAGACCCTACAACACATAACGTAGTCTTGGAGTAAACCTCAGAGAACGGCCTCCCGGCCAGAAACGGGCCCCCTGAAAAAAAGACACTCCGAAATGGCGATGTTGGTTTCCTATCAAAGCGCCACTTTTGGAACCCTCCAACCGGGAAATTTCGGAACCCCGGTCAAATGGTTGCAATCTCGTCAGGTTTTGGAGTCATTCCTCCATATGCATGGTGGCGAGGGTTTTGCTGGTTGTTGGAAAGTCATTGTCCAAAACGGTTAAAGGGTTCAAGGTCGTCCAAAGAGCAACCGGCGTGAATTTTAAGTAGGGACCCTTTGGTGGACATCATTTTGAGGATTCGGCCCAACCGTCCTCGAGGGGTTTACCCTCATGTTAATTTCGGATTAATCCGGAGGACCATATTAATCAGGGGAATCCCCTCAAATGAACTGATTCCCCGGATTCTTCTCCCCCCCCCCGGTGCTCCGGACTGATCCGAAGTTGGCATTTGAAGTCATAGCCACCAAAATGATCTTTATCCCTTGCTTTGGGCTGGTGTTGACCTACCAATCCAAACCACCAACTCAGGGGCAGCACTGACTCCTCTCGCGGATTTTTCGCGCGCTCCTTGCAGCACCAGCGGAACCACCCCAGCTCCGTCTGCAGCTGCCCCTCCCCGCACTCGTTGCAGGTCCAGCCGAACGCGTAGCCCCCTGACAACCCGACGCCGGTCCAAAGGCAAACCGCCCATGGGGGGCCAATGGAAGTCCACTGCTAGTCTCTCTGAAAAGACCCCAGAGACCCAATTGCCAAGAGGGTATAGCCCATGTCAAGAGTGGCTTTGCGGTGAATGGAATGGAGCTGGCCACCAAACGTAGACATACCAACCGAGCTCAGCGGATCCAAGTTTAGTTTTTGGTTTTCAGCGGCTGGACGTGGTCAGCCGTACCCCATCCATGCCATCCTGATGCCAAGGGGTGTCCGAGTGCGGCACCTTCTCACATCGAACCCTAAGCAAGACCTATCAAGACTTTATTTGAAAACATCCTCAGGATCCCCCACAAAGAAGATTCCTCTCAAACTCACAAGCCTTCTGGGTCGTTGCAAAGTAGGCCCTCAGACTCAACAGGGGGTTCCTTTTTGGTTTGGCACCCACCAAAAAAGACACACCCAATCACAGCAAAAATCCGAAGATCCGAAGATCCAAGCCATCGAGCACGAGGAGCTAACTCGGGCAACCTCCGCGCCTGTTTGATGGTCTGCCCAGAGCATCCTAAGTTGGCACCCCCCGAGGCACGGCGTTTTCGGCGCTGGTTCGCGGAGAAGAAATGGGGACTCAAGCAAAGCAACAGGGTGGACACCTCTCGGAAAAAGGACACCTGCAGTTTTTGCAGTGCAAAAAAGCGAGAGCAAAACTGAGCGTGGCTAAGTTTACCTTGCGACCCCCCCAAAAAAGCTGCCCTCAAAAGCAAAAGGGGAACCCTCACATCAACCGAACAAGAAAACGCCTCGAAAGATAGCCAAAAACGATGAGGATGCCCTCAAAGCAACCAAAAGCGAAGAGAACACCCTAAAAATGAAAGGATAAACAAGGGGACACCAAGCCACAACCGCAAGCAACATATCAGAAACTCATCAAACGACTAAAAGGACACCACAAGCATCTAAGAAATGGGTAACAGCCCTTCTGAGCATACCCCGACCCAAAAATCCTGCTTTTTGGGATACTTTTGCATTTCCAAAATAGCCTGTTTAGGTTTTGGGGTATCTCGTAATAGGGGCTGCAGGATTTAAGGGTCGTTGGTATGCCTGAAAGGCCACCATGAAAAAGCAGCTCTGGCACTGTTTTTTGCCGATTTGATTCGTCTAGGGTTCGGTGCATACAGCTGTCCGTATCAACCACGACGTTTGCGTTTTGCAGGCGACGGTGGATTCTCTCGCAAACACTCCGGCGGGTGAAAGAGCCGGATGTTACCTTAGATAAGCAACATTGCAAAGGCAACATTGCTTAAAGCAAGAACCCTTAACTCAGAAGGAAACAAAGATGGAAAGCCAAAGGGAAGCCTCTACCCCAAAAGTCGCGGGCTGACTTCTGCCGACCATGGCTATGTTGGGTCACGGCCGCCGAGCTTCTCGGAAGCACAGTCGGGGCAGTTGGGGGTGGTAGCGGCGACCAGGCGAATCTGATCCTCCGGGTAGGTGTCCTGGCGACAAAAGGAGAAGCATGAGGGTACCGCACCAAAACGGCTTCGGCCCGCCAAAATTGAGGAACAAGGGGTTCGCAACCCTAGGGAGATGTGCGAATCTTTGGATGCCACTTGGAGTGACTCTCCAAAACGCCTGGAGAATAGCGTTGGTCGTTGTGTCTAGCTGGTTCTCTGTAGGTTTTGGGAAAGATCCGGAAAGGGGATCCCCTTCAGACATACAAGGGACCCTCATTCCCAGAATCTCAGCAAACACGGGTCTTGGAAGACAGCGCCCACGGCAAGGCCGACATACAAACGGTCGGAAGAAACAAGTTCCTCCCGAATTCTCCTGTGAAGGCAATTGGGTCCGAAAAGGGAAGAGCAAGGAGCAAAACCAATTCTCTGCATTGTTTGGGTTACAGTTGTTTCTGCAAATAAGAATACTTTTCAGCTGGTTTACACAATTGGCAGGACAACACTCGGTGATCTACTGTGCTCTGCTAATGCAAGCTGAAAAAGCTCCATTGCTCCTTTACATTCTTTGGCGCAATTCGGCGAGCGCATGCGGTCTGGACACTTAGCGAAGTCTCCTTGGGCTTTCGGACGCGCAAGCAGGCTGGAAGAAGTGCGCAACGCACGGTCTCCGTCGTTGCGAAGGTGCTTCTACTGTGCCTCCTAGAGCCCAAGCCGCCCACGCATCTTATTTTCAATAGTCTCTTCTGCTGCTCGCGGCTTTTATGTTGCCCATACCCTTTCGCGCTTGAGCAAACCATAGCTTACCCCAAGCAAGGCACAAGGTAATTTCCAGGAGTAACGCGGCTTCCTGCCGCTCGAGCTGGCAGGGTGCCCAGCAGCGCTGAATCACACACATGGACATGGGAAAAAGGTTCCAAGGCGGCGCATTGTGGGCTATGGTGGCTGAACTAGCCAAGGTCGTTGGCCAACACGAGCACGCAAGAGCGGATGAACGCCCGGCGCCAGAACATATCCAGGAGGAGCCACGCCAGGGATTTTGCGTCAGTTGCAAGCTTTTGAGCACCTCGCTTCAGCATTTACTCCGTGCAGCACCTCGCGGGCATTCACACTTCGCCCGGCATTCGCACTTCGCAGGAAAGGGGATAAAGAGGCCCCTGACATGTGACACAAGGCGAGGGGCTGACCACCTGTCTTTGGCGCGCTTGCGACCCTCGATGCACACGTGAAGGCTCGACACATTGCCACGAAACACTCTCTCGCTGCCTCAATGGCCCTGCGCTGGCCTTCCACCACTTGTTGATTGGCTGCAGTTTCTCTGGCAACTTGCGCGCTTGTCTTGTAGGCTTTGGTGGCACCTTCGGCCCTTGGTTGCCGAGGGCTGCCAGACAGACGTTGGCCCAAGCACGCTTCCTGCGGCCTCCTGGTTGACTCGGTTGGATGTATTGAAAACTCCGGGAAGGGCGTGGCGATGAGTAAGCAGGCAAAGACAGCAATGACTTTGGCCGTACCAGCCTGCCTCAACTCTGGGCACGGCATTCGCAAATGCTCGGGCTTTGCTGGTTTTGGGCTTGGGGCGCCCAGGGCGGGCTTTTTGGAAACACACTAGCCGCAGCAGCAGAATACGAAGCGGAAGTGAAACTTAGTGCGGGCGAGGGCAGGTTCCACAACTCGAGTTGAAGAGGCAGCCGTCGGTCAGCAAGTGTCCACACCCTCCGCAGGGCCCGTTTTCAGCCTTCACAGAAAAGGTGCTTGAGAAGCAGGCTGACCTACAGCAACTTGGTCTCCAGAAAGCTTTTGCGGGGCGATCCGGCGTCAACCAGCCATAAGTGGCAGGGCCACTGCAAAACCAATTTCCGAAGGCCAAGTTTCGCTTTCAGGCGCGCAGATTGAAAAACTACCCCCTTCTGCCCGACGGAAAGTAAGGAGACTTTGTCGTTTCTTTGAGGTCATGGCCTCAAGTCGAGGGCCCTCGATCGCTTTTGGGCAGGAAAACTAGGTTTGTGAAGCTGTCACTGCCGCGATGGATCTTGTTGCTTTTCACTTCGGCCAACTTAACAGCATCATCCATCGAAAGGTTGCCTCTGCCGCAGCGCCTTGTCAGACGCCTGTCGGCTGAAGCTGTTGTTGGACGGTAGACGCGTTGCTTACCTTCAACCGCAATGGGTCTTTGCGCACCACGCCTAGCGTCTAGAAATCCTGCTACGACACTTCGTATTTGCAGACAATTCTGCGCAACTGACAGTTTTTGCCTAGGGCAGCAGTCCTTTTCGGGGATTGCGCAATTTAGGAGCAGCCTGTCCTAAATTCATTTCTAGCTTCTGCCAGGAGGCATCGTTGCTCACTTCAAGCCATCAATGCGCACGTGCCACACCACGGGCCACGCATGGCTCCAAGAATCCTGCCGCGACACTGGAAATTTTGCAACCGGGGTGGCTTTCTTAATCAAAATGGAGGGGTTAGGCGACTTAGGACCAGCCTTTCCTAAATTGATTTCTGGAAGCGCTTTCTCCTGGAAAGAGCCTAGGGCACTCGAATCCAAATTTGCACCGGGGGCCCTCGTGAGCGCCAGACGCAGGTCTGCAAACCCTCGCGCGGCCAGCGCGCAATTTGATTTGGCGGCCCCTGGCAAGAGCAAGCGCGGCCTGCGAGAGCTCACCTGCAGCATCTGTCGTGAGAGCGATGCGCTTGCACGCTGTTTGTGCGCTGCAACTTGTGCGGGGCTACGCTGCAAAAGTTTTAGCCCGCGGATCCTGGAAGCCCAACAGCGACAACAGTTGGCGGGTCTGGGTGCCCGTGCAACAGCCTGTACTTACGCCTCCGTCTTGCAAAGGGGGGGATGGCCTGTGACCCCGGCAGAAAGAATCAGCGAATCAGGACGACATGTCCGCCAACTACCCAGCTCGCGCCCCTTGCTGTGTTGCTTCCAACTCTTGCCGCAGAAAGGCTCAGCAGACATGTGCAAGACAAAAGGAAGGCAAGTTAGCTGGTGCGCGGGGAAGGCTGTGTAGGAAGCCTAGAGCGCTAGGGATTACGCAGCTCTATATGGCCACACCGACATAGCAAAGCATCCATGCGCGAGCAATGGGATTATCAGGGGCCTTGCGGCTTTGGAGCGGCATGCCGCTGAGACCACAGAGGCCACAGTCTCAGATCGCCCCGGATTAGTGGCCCGCCACGTTCTCAGTTACGTCTGGGCCAGCTTTGCTGGCTTCTCCAAACCGGCCCTGCTTGCTTGGCTGCTTGGCAGGAATGAGTCTGGATCTCCCTGCATGACCAGCAAGGGCACGCCAAAACAGCCTTTGCCAACTGATGCGTAAGCGCGAAGTCCTTGCAGCGGATCGCTGGCTCGCCACAGCCGGCGCCGGCCACGGCAGCAGACTGAAGGTAGAGCGCGTTACTGAAGCGCCGCCATGCTTCCAAATAGAGAGCCGTAAATGACAGGCGTGGCCGTCAGCATGAGGGTGAGCACCTTCAGCGTCGCTGGCCGGGTTTCCTTGCCTCGCCTTGAACGAACCCCCCGTTGAAGCTGACAAAGTTTGCGTTGCGGAATCTGCCGTGGCCTTCTCTACGTTCCCGAAATTCAATTAGGAGGTGCAGGTCGGCATCAATGGGCTACGCGCGGCCCTTAGGCCGGCTAGAGCTAGGGTGGCTAGGAGAGACCTGCGCTTGCAGAAGCTAAGTGCCAAGACGCAAGCCTGCGATTTGGGGCTCGCAGCTTGCTAGCACAGCTTGTTATGTAGGCGGCACAGCTGCAGGTTGGTCCTTGCAGGTCGCACGCGCGCATGTCAAAGAGCCAGATCTTGTGCACGGTGAACGTGGCTAAGCCTTTTTCCTTCCGAATTTCAGCGCGCGCAGGTTGTTCCGGGGAGCCTCACAGCACACCCTGATGCATGGTAGCAACTCACGCTTGCGCCCGCCGTGCTGTGGCCACGCGGCTTGGTAGAAAGGCATGCCGGTTTTGGGGCGCAGGTTGGTTGAGATTGAATATTGCCGTTCGGCAGGCAACCAAAACTGCCCTCCGGGCCATGTTTCCGTTCAGGCAGGTCGCTCATCTGACATGGGCATCGCCGACCCGTTGTCTGTAAACATGTTCCAAGGCGGCCTTCCTGACGAAAAAGAACTGCTACTCCGGAAGCGGCTGTTTGTTGCAGCTGGCACCAGCTTCTAGTGCCACTTCGGCTGAACATTTCCATTTTGCGGCAGCCGCAGTTCGTGCGCGCTGCAGCGAGAAACCTGAAAAGCGCAGACACTCAACCTCCACGACTTTCGAAGCAAGAATGCCGGTTGGGAACAACGCAGCCAAATGATCAACACCATGGAGCACAGCCTTGCTGATGCAATGCGTCGGTTGAAGGAGTCGCTGCAACACTGCTGCTTTGCGCTCTGTGTCAGTGCAGAGGAGACCTCGTCTGCGAAAGGCCACCGAAGCTCGGCACTTGGGCCAAGTCCGCTTCTGAAATCGCGCGGATGGCTGAGCCCGCTAAGCTACGCTGTAAGAGGATCGCAAATGTCCTGCAAGCTCAGGGTGACCGCTGCCGGGCTGGGTCGTCTCGAAAAGCGCTCTCACCCGGCAACACGGTTTCTGTGTCAGTGACGTGGACTCCTCCGCTTGAACTTGCAAAGAAAGGCATGGCTCAAGCCACCCCTTCTAAATCCAGATTCAAATTAGGATTTGTTGGGGGGACCGGCTAGACTCCCTGAGAAAGCCTAATTCAAATTCGAATTCGTAAGGGGGGAGGTCCGGGAGGTCCGGCCAACCCCCCCCTTACGAATTCAAATTTGTGGGGTTCGTGGGAAGGGGATCTGGCCGTTTCCGTCTTTACAAACTGTGAAGCTTGCAAACAACCTCTTCCGAATTCAACCGCGCTCGCGCGAGCACAACTTCGCATTGTGTAGCTAGCTGAGCTTTCACACATTGCGTGCTAGGTCAGAGACGCTGGTTGGCAAGAAGAGCAGGAAGCGTGGCACGACTGTTTGAGTCCGTCGGTCTGCGTCATGCTGATGAAAGTCAGGTTCAATCATATAAGGTTTGTGAAACTGAC